GGCAAAAGCAGCTGAAATCATGGCACTCTGTATGCAGGGGACTGAAGCGTGCTGGACTTTTGAGTCAGTCAGGTAATAGGTGAAATTGTGTCTGCTGCACAGCTTATAAATCGCAGAGCTGGCAGTATTTATCTGTGTCTCAGACAATCCTGCTGGGAGATGGGAGCGCTGAAATGAGAATCAACAGCCTGCCTCTCCTCCCCTTCAGCCCCCGTCAGGTCATTTCACCCCCACCACCCGTCCTCCTGAAAGCGAGGTGTGGGGAGAGACTGATAAATATAAAGCAAGTCGAGAGCCCCCTACCTCTGCCCTCTGCATTTCACCACAATTCCCGGGGTCGTTTTAATGTATTTCGTCCGGGCCTGGAGAAGACCTGACGAAAACCACTCTCTCGCTAAAAAAATCCTGAAAAGATTTTGCTCTTTTAAAGCCACTTCCTGCCACCTGTGTAACATAAAGGGCCATCAGCTCTAATCCTCCAACGCCTTTCCGCCTAAACTCGGTTTGCATATTTCATCTCCCAAACCAGGAGTTTTACACCCCACTGATGGCAGGTCTGCTCTGTAATAAAAGACAAGACAGGAGCTATTTCTACTCTCCCATCCAAGACAATTGCCCTTTTGGCTTTGTCTCCAACAGTCACACCTTGTTACCATAGCGGTGAGGGATAGAATGGAAGGGACACGAGGAAAAGAGTAGGTGGAGAGCACAGGGAGGTAACAATAACACACAATTTTTCAGGCTTCATTGTAATTCCTCTCTCATCTCGGTCCCCAGTGACAAGCGGCGAGCCGGCCAGGATTCTAATCATTCCTGTTGTCAGACTGGTATCTCAAGTGAGATTGAGTTGATTGTTTGAACAAATTTGCAAAGTAACAATGCAATTTGAGGCGGCGTGCCGTGGGATGGCTAGGTGGAGACTCACAAGAGATCAGGGCAGAAAGTATTTGTCGGGTACAGTTGAATTAATCTCCCTTCTCATAATTACAACAAAATTAAGTTTGTTTCTTTCTTTTTTTCATTCCTTATTAAACGTGTCTCGTGAGATAAACGATCAAAAAATTGGCAAATTGGATGAGTGAGAATTGTGTTTTTTGTTAATATTTAGATGAATGTGAATCAAACACTCATTTAAGTCATTTTATTCCAGTGTGCTGAACAGTAATGATTCTACTGAGCTGGACAAAAATTCTGTTCACGAATATACAGAAAGATAGAGAGGCAGATATGTAAATATCTGAAAAACCCTGTGTACAGTATTTTATAATCCTTCATTTTTAACAAGGACTCTGTGTATTTGTAATGACACTCATAGCTCTGCACACACTACAGGTTCAGGGCGGCACCGTTGGACCCGTACTGCTTCTGTTTGTCTCTGTTTGAAGCGAGCATAATGAGATTCGAGGCATTTCCATCTATGGCACCACACACCGACTGAGAAATTTAATTTCACCCAACCATAAAGCACAACTTTCCTCCAGTATTTTTTTTTTGTGTACAGAAGCACCAAGCTGAAGGACCAGAGCATGCAAGAGTAGCTCATATGTCAGCCTCTTTCTGCCCCCCAGTGACAGCAGCACATATGTGTTTGAGCATTTGAGTAAGCATGCTGGGACACTGTAGTGTTCCTCCATTTTCAAAACCATTTCCACAAACTATTTGTCGCCTGACATGAAAACAGAAGTCATGTGCAATGAGTTGAGGTAAAAACAACCACAAGTTATTCCAAGTGCTCTATACAAACCTTTGACTTCTTCAAGCCAAATTGTATATATTATTATGACAATACTGATGGTACAGGAAATATGAGGCACACAGCGTGAGTACTCCTCACGACTCCCCCCATTGGAACTTAAAATAACTTTAATAAGAAATTTGTCTAGGGGTAAAGATTCAGGATGGGCTCTTTAATAGCCTCTGCAACATGTTGATCCTCATGCATAATGGGACATGTCATTTTCTACCATCTCCCATCATCGAACATTACGGCTTGACGAACTCCAATCATATTGCAGCATGAATATCAATTGGATGCTGGATGCTGTCTGCAATTTCACGTTTAATGATTAAAGATTTCACTGACACACGAGTGCAGGTACTATAAAGACCTCTCACTTCCAGTGTGACAGTTGTTATTCCTCTCCTTGATTACTCCGTTATGAAGTCTGACGTATGTTAATAGAAACAAAAGTCTGGGTGATACGCTCAGATGAATTGGTACAGGTTTTTTTTAAAGCATCTTTACAAAATGAAACATTAGTTTATGACTCACATCTATCCATCCATTGTCTTCCTACTTGAGAAATAATACTTGTTGATATGCGTAAATGCACAACTTTTACTTCAATTTCATACAAATGAACTGAGCTTCTTCTTCTGAAAGGAAAAAAAAACACCTTTTACCTTTGGTAGTTTCATAATTGCTTTAAGTGAATTTGAAATCAATACGTTTCAAAAGTCCAGAGCTGTTTTGGAACCCTCATATTGGTTTTATAGTCTGAGGTTGACATTGTCATGCATCACATGCTGCATGCTGGAGCGCAGCAGAGCCCGTAAAGGCTGCGGCTCTTGTTAGATTGGTGTGTACTGAACTGAAACCGAGCGACCGCTGAGCTGTTGGAATCGCTGGAGGACCACTGGAGAAACGATTATCCAGACATCAGCGGGCTGCTGGCTGCTCCCACCGGCAAGGCAATCACTGTTTTTTTTTTTTTTAAGGGGTAGGGGGGGAATGAATCATTGGGCATTTCAAGATCCAACTGCTTAATCCTAAAATGAGCATCATGGGGCATTAACACAAACCTTATCCCTCTTTGTATCTTTTGCATGCATCCGATGCTTATTCTGGTTTCCATTGATGTTTCCAATGGCAGGAACAGAAATAGTTTAGCTTCAAAAGTCCCCAAAAGATGAGTGTAAAAGTGTTGTGCTGTGCTTTGCTTCGTCTTTGTAGTTTATCCATCCTTGTGTCTGCACACACTACCTGGTGCCACGTTTGATTTGCGGCGGCCCTTATCAAAGCCTGGCACTCATCTGTGTCATCACAGAATATCAAGACACACAGAGCTCCGCAGAGCCCAGAAGTGGTCGGAAAATCCACGGAAATCTCAGTGGGTAAGCACTCTTAAAGGGAAACGGGCTGCATAGATATGAGAACCTCTGCTCAAAGGGGTCCACACCGGCAGAGTGAAGGGGTCGGATCCCCCTCAGCTCACTCAGACCGGGATACCAGGCGGAGGAAGAGGAGGCCCCTTTTATCTCGCCTCAGATTGGTGATTAGATTGAAGAGCCCAGTGGAGGAGGCACAGCTCCTCTCTGCCACACCGAGAGGAAAAAGCAATGTTCCACAAGACTACACATTCATTACTCAAAATAAATATCCATTAAACAAATGCCATATGCATAATTAGAGTATAGGAATAATTATGATTAGTTTTCTCCAAGGGCAGACTTATGTAAATTGTGATTGACACCATGCAAATGTGGGACAGCGTAAATCCAGCCTCAGAGATACGCAGAGATACACCAGGCAGAACAATAACTCGAAGCAAAATACAGAGATGATAAAGGAATTAAAAGACGGATGAACACACCACTACATGCTCATAATCGAAATATGTTCATTTAGAACAACTGTGAATTGGAAAAGCAGCTGGTTTGTCTCTGATTCGGCCTCTAATGTTATAATTTGAACATCCTTGTTTTCTTTTTCCTTTTTATTCTAACAAAGGGAAACAATACAAATCAGCCATACTTAATCGCTAACGCTATTTTATTCAGTTTGTGCAGAATACAAAAGGAAAAATGTCCCCTTTGAGGGTCGGCTTAGAGGAAATATCTCTGTTCTGAGCATGCCATCATCTAGTAAGCGTCCCAGTATGCCACACTTCACCAGTCCCTACCTGCTTAGAATCCATATACTGCACGAGTGAAGATAAGAGTCTGCAGTCATGCTTGCAGCTCTTTGATAAATGCTAACCCTCCAGTTTTAACATGCTGCCCACACGACTGCCTCAGTGTTAAGCGGGGAATATGTTTACCACCTTAATTGAGACTGTTAGTACACAGAACATAGTTTATTCTAAGTTACCCTGAGGCAAACATCTCTAAATGTCACACCAATCTTCCCAAAGGACGCCGACTTGGTTGTGGCAGTAGACACACAAAGGCCGGTCAAATTAGGTACATTTATAGAAAATATTTGTATCTAAACAGACTATTGTACTGCATTGATTCTAGCTAACTGTGAAAACAACAAATATAACCTGTCAATCCAAAAGCTAGAATCTTTTAAGACACCCAGTTGAAGGCGGTGAGATGATCTGATTTCTGGGGCGTCATAGATTTTTGTTCCTGAATACAGTGCAGTTTGAGCCGTTTACTCGACACAAACAGAAGTCAATCCGTCCCCCCGTCGCTGGCTTCTGGGCGGCCCCCCCTCAAAGGGAAGCGTCTGGCGGGCCCCGCCTTGATCTGCGTGGCCTGCTGGTGGCCGCCCGGAGGAGGCCGAGCCGGTCATTACCGGCCAGCTCTGGCTGCGGCCCTCACTTCAAGTGCACCTTTCATCTCCAAAGCCATCTCTTAGGGAAACAATGGCCATCCCCACCCATCCCTGAGAGCTCTGCGGGAGGGGGTGGCGGCACTTATATGAACTGAGCAGGGGGTCCGGGGGGGGGAGGGTGCTGTGCATCTTTTGTGAGCTCCGTCAGCGCATATGGTAAAACCAGTGTCAGAAGCTCAATTATGTATTCAAAAGGTCCAGACAGCCCGCGCGGGGGCCTTCTTTACATTTTAATGAAAAAATCTAGGACTGACAGATAGAGCCACTGATAGGAAATGAAAAAAAAAAAAAAAATGCAGCACTCCCACCAGCAGAAACCAGGGCGGACGTTCTCAGGGCGAAAGGGTCTGGACCTGCCCTTTGGAAAGCAATCTCTCCACAGTCACCTGGCTTCCCACAGTCATATTAGCCAACACCAAAAAGACCAGGAGATGAGCAGTTATGATATGTTCACATTTATTGTGCAGTGACTTTTATATACATACATTTTTATACACCTAATTTACATGAACAGAAATAAATTAATCTGCTAGTGTTCTTGAACTCATCTGGCTTTAGTGCTGCCACCGACTGGACGCAGAAGGAGAAAAAGCACAAGAACTCCAAGTGACACATGAGTGACAAGGCAGTAATATGAGTCAATGTAGTTTCATTTTTAGTCTTATATCTTACATAGACAGAGGCAGTTGTAAGAGTTTTGGAGCCATGGCTTAGAATATTAGAGAAAATCCGATTTTATATTTTGGAAATCTGTTTCAAGCAACATTCACACACTTAATTAAACGTATATGTGTCTGTTTTAAAAGGTAAATAACATTTTTTGGCACCTTTTACTTTCTGATCACTAAAAATAATTAAACTGCAAAACTTTTGTTTTTGTTTTTTTACACAATTGACAAACCTGCTGCTTGTGTTAAATGCAACACAGCTGAAATGATTAAATGTCCCATGTGGACAGCTACGCTCCACCGTGTTTAAAAATGAAAATCCTACATATGACTTTAGATATGACCCCTTTGTGCATTGTCTTTGTTTGCTATTTAAAATTGTAAACTTTTAGTTCAGTTATGCTGGCCTACTCCGACCTTATATGGTGACATAAATGCTCTTTAGGGATTAAAATGGCCAAAACGTCTTATAAACTGCATCTTTAATATTGGAGATGATCATTTCTACTCTGCTACATACAGTATTGATCGCTAACAACAGACAAAGATAAAATACCAATTGGCTATTAGTGTCTTCTTTATAAAAACTAAATCTACTCCGTTAATGTGATAATTGTCTGATTTGTGTACATTGCAGTGTGCGGAAACAATAAAAAAAAAGCATTAACTGGAGAGGCCCACACATGTCAAAACAGACGAGGAAAAAAATAGAAAATATAAACCACTGGAAAAATCATCTCTTATGTTTCTCATTTCCACAGACTGTGAATACAGACACTGACCTGCTCTCATCTTTTGGGTCTGAAGTGACAGGAAGTCTAGCTCTCTACTTCTAGCTTATGATAAACACTGACACTAACTAGAGTGACATGCCTATTTAACACAAAACATTACACCAGTTGCAGCCTCCTCTTTCCATACAGAGACACAGAGAATTTACAGGATACATTGATGGCTCTCAAGCACTAAACTGCTGCAGGCAGCAATAACTCTAAGCTATCAAAACATGCAGCTTGTGGTGAGTTTCTACAGTACTATTCAGCAGTTGTTGGTGGTTAACGGCTGTGCTAAAAAAAAAAGTAAAAAAAAAAAACAGAGTTTGGGTTTTCATTACTCTTATTTTTAACATAAAATAATTCGTTTCAAGATGGCTATGTTGTTCCGTTGGCCTCATACCCGGTCTGTTCGGACTCGCTTATTAAAGAGAACACGTGATCGCATGGCAGCCGTCTCATCACCACATCATACCGACACATCTGGTTATTGCACACGAGCACTGAACTTGCAAATGTTCATGCAGAATGAACGAGGACGCACTACACTCGAATCAGTGGCTGCTCAGGACGTGACCGTACGACTCTTTGGAAGACTAAATGACATTGTTTGGGGCGGAGCTGCGGCGCACGTGGCGGGGGGGCCCGCGGTGCCTTGGCTCCGCCCCGCGGGGGGGACAGAGGTTCGGTGATGCTTACGACAAAGGGACGGCTGACACCAGCTGATGGCTGCGTGACAGCGCGGTCCTCAGACAGTAGAAAAAAGAGGGGGGGGGTGAGAGATGAAACCTGCACTGAGAGCGTTTGTGTTTTTATAGCAGATTCATGTGTCGGCACGTTAAATATACATCCACATCTAACATTCATATCCAGGTTTCAGTTAAGACCCCAAAACGGTAAACAAAGAACCCGGTTAGTTTTTTGTTTTTTTTTAAAGAATAAAAAGGATAATTTCATGTTGAGGGTTCTTTTGTTTGGAGATAAAAGTTCGTTGAAGTTCTGGCATAAAGTAAAAGCAAAAAAAGGAATTCAATATTATCTGACACACCAACTACTCCACGCACCCGGCTAGTGAGTAAGCAAAAGAAAGAGCAGTAAGGCGAATCAGTGGCAGGATAATGACAGAGCAGGTGTAGATGTGAGCGGGGGGGGGGGGGGAGCGGGGGGGCAGCTGTGACGGCCGGGCCTTCAGTGGACGCCCTCGCTCCAGCTCACGGGGACTGAGAGCCTGACCTGTAGCTCTTGAAGCTGCCCAGCAGACTCTGCACCCCCTTCTTAACTCGCCGAGCCACGGAGTCGGCGGGCGGGGTGGGCAGGCAGGAGGCCAGGCTGGGGGGGCGCGCGTCCAAACACTTCTGGTAGCGGAGCTGGAAAAATGAACAACAGACAGTGGCTGTAAACCTGAATCCTGCACGAGGAGCCAAAGGGCAGAGAGGGCTCATCTGTGGAGTCTCCCCGGTCCGGACTCACCATGCAGGCGGCCTGCACAGCCTCACTCAGGCTGGCCGCGTTGGGCTCGCACCAGAACATGTGGCAGGTGAACTCCCGGGGACCTTCCGCCATGATGAAAGCAAAGGTGTGGACGTCCTTTCCCACACCCATGAAAGACAGGAAGCGCACCCGGCACTCCGACAGCACCTCGTCATCCTAAAGGCGGACATAAAAAACGTTTTGAAACAAAAGAAAAGACCCACCTGCCACATTTCTAAAATGATTGAACTCATTATTGAATTCCTGAAACGTGCAGTTTTAAGCCTACGGACAGTGATCAACACTTGACATTTCCTGTGATGCCTCTCCGTTTACCTGCTTGGAGAGTATGGTGAGCGTGGCTGGTGCAACATTCACAGAGACGGGTGTCCAGTCAGTTTTGTCCCTGCCATTCATTGCTGCCTCAAATGCGTCATTGATTATATCCATTCCTGAACAAAAGAAAGCACACAAAGTCAGATGAATCATCTGAAAAGTTACCATAAGAATTGCAAATTGTAACGGTGCTCCAAAACATGCCTTTTTTCCCCTTACCGACTGGCCTGGCCACAGGCTCACAGCCAAGGTAATAAACATGGAAGCGCTGGAAGAGTTCATTCTTTGGAACAGGAAACTCTGTTCAGAGAGGAGAAAAACTGGCATCACATCGGCTCTAGAGTCTCAATTATGAGGGTGTTTAAAGTGTCTGCGAGCACGCTGCTTTACCTTCAACAGGGATGGCCAGAGGCCGGCTGGGGTCAGAGTTGAGTCGGCTCACTCCTGGCCTCGTTGCCTTTCTCTCCATCATTATCTGAAATAAAATTATGAGAGCACAACATGTGAATATCAAAGACCGGAGCAGGGCCTTCAATGAATCCATAATTAACCGAAATTAAATCCCGCGAGGGCTGACCTTTGAACACATCTCATGCAGGCTGGTGGCGATGTTCTTAGCGGGGGAGTCGCATCGGAAAACGTGACACTTCAGAACCTGGGTCAGGTTGTCTCGGGCCACATAGGCAAAATCCCTGCAGGTGAAATGAAATGGAAAAGGTCACATTCTCATATTTAGTCATTTGCATATGCTTAAGGCCGCTTAAGACCACTTAACACACACTCACACACACAAACACACACAAAGATGCACAAAACAAACAATGTGACAGTAGTAATCATTGAAAAGTACCTTTCCCTGTTTATGACGGAGAATGCAGCATGAGAGAGAAAACAACTGTTAGGGTAATCCGTGTCTGCAGTTTTACCAACTCCCCAGCAGAGGGCGGCAAACAACATACTTTTCAACACAAAGAAAGATTCAAAATGGGAAACAAAACTTGTCATCACAAAACTAAAACCACTGTCATTCACGGGAAGCTTAGCTGACTAATCTGTTAATTAGAACCTATTTCTCTACAAAAACAGCTTCCAAGCACGTCGCCAAATCTTAAACCTGAAGTGAACATGAATGTTTCCTTCTGCTAAATTAAAGATGTTTACGAGTAGAGCTGTTTAAATTTTAACTTTGGACAGTAGAACCATGCATTAAATATGACGGGCCCGTGAATAACTGGAGGCTTTCAGTTTAACGCTCGCCAGAGAGCGGCGCTGAACCAACCCGGCGCGGCTTTTTTGTGCGGCCCTTACACTGAGGATACGGACCTGCCGTTGTCTCTGCCAACGCCCCACACGCGAATGCTGCCGATTGGCTGAGCGTGCAGCAGAGTCTGACCCAGAGGGTCGATCAGCTTCATGGTGTCGTTCTCCAAAACCATCAGCATGTCTTTTCCCTGTCAAAACACACACAGACACACACACACACAACCATCATCAGTAACATTTCATTTTGCGTCCAAGTGGCAAACACGCCGCCCGTTGCCGGGGGGTTTGCCAGAGCCGACCACGCCCCCTCACCTCTCCCCAGATCCCAGCAGTGTCATCCAGGTTGTGTTTGTGGTAGGAGAGCTGCCGGATGCAGTTGTTGACGGCGACGCTGCTCTTTCCGGGCGCCATGTCCTCCTCTGACATCTCCACCCAGCCCAGAGAACGCACGGCGAAACACTGAGAGCACAGAGGTGTGTTGAATCAGAGACACGCACAAAAAACTAGCATTCCCTTTTATTCATTTATCCAAGAGCCACGTTAAAAAGGGCACTCTGCAGCATCAGTGCAAAGATGATGTACAGATTATTACATCTGACACATTTAAACTGAGCCCCACCCTCAGATTTATGGATTAGACCCAAAAGATATTCTGTAATTCAGACACACAGCATGCACAATGGAGAACCTAAAATCAGACTCGACGTTCTATTCTCGCTCTATATGATGCAGAATTTTCACACAATTGCATGTCGTGTTGCCATAGCAATCTATTTGAGCTTGATTACAGCTCAAAACTTGGAGGTTGGACTTATAGCATTAAGGTCAGTAATGTAACTGCAGCTGGGACTTTAATGGGGAAGTCAGCAGGGTGCTCATGCAGACGTGTGCCATCAAAATGGCACCTGATTAACAGAGAAGGAGGATGTGTCTGAACAGGATTTGGGAGTCTTTCTTTATGATTTACCTTTGTTTCTAAATCAGTGCAGAGTGGAGCAAGTTTCTCTTCTTCTTCTGACTGGGAGCAATTGTAGCTGCAAAGGCAAAAGATGGAGGTTAGTAGGTGGCGATAATAACGAGTTACGGCATCCTGAGTGGCGACAAATCAGAGAACTTCAACAGCCCTTACTTCAGGTTGATGGATGCATAGCGTAAAGTTGCTCCTTCAAACTCCTTCAGACTTTGATCAGACACGACCTCTCCCTCCTCCTGAAGAGGGAAATAAAGATTACGTTAGTTTTAGTACCGAGTACAACGCACTCAAAGACCGCATTCAACCGCATGGAACTGATGATGAAAAAATATACAAAATTACACAGTTACAAGACTAAGATTTCATATATCAGGATATAATAGTTAAAAGTGATTATTTCATTCATAGGTATCAAGATGTGATACAAAGAACTTGAGATGAACTGCAATATGTGACATATTGTGTTCTATTCAATAGTATTAAAGGAGCCCCTCAGACTCTACAGGCTCTGGTTTACATGTCCAGTTTCAAAGTCTATGACAGTTAATTCAAAAGAGGCATGGACTTGGTTTATTGGACAGTCTTGTCTGTGTAGAAATAAGATGCAAGCACAGCTAAGATATCTGTGATACACAGGAGTGTGTTTAAAAAACAAACAAACAACATGTTAGCACTAATGCACGGAGCACGTAGGGGGAAGGCTGATGATCTGGGCCTTATATTTTGGGGCAACGGGACTCCTCACAACGGAACACCTCACAGTCACAGAGTTCAGAACTCGATCCGATTTAAAGGGAGCGGTTGGACCCAATGGCTGCGTAAACCTCACTGAAATGAAGCGATGACTCACCTTCCACAGTTCTCCCTCACCGGCGCCTTCATCCGTGCTGGAAAGCTGAGCCCAAGATTCCTGGAAAAAAAGGTAACAAAACTCCACGATCAACATGAGATTTTCATTTCAGTTTCTTCACCCAGCCAAAGGTCCGTCAGGCCTCACCTCTGTCTCCTCGCAGGGTGTGGTCTCCAGGGACATCGTGGAGGACATTACAGAGTCGCCAACTTTACCATGGGGCGAAGGAGGCTCCCACTGGGTGGTGCCGGTGGGAATATGCCAGTAGTAAGTGCCAGATGTGTCCCGCACTCTCATCCACCCGGAGGGCAGGTCGGTGTCTGTCTCAAAAGCACTGGAGTCCCAGAAAGACTCTGAAAGCAAAGGGGAACAATGTGAAGGAGAACTGTTACACAGGTATACAACAGGTATAACAATGAAATATTCAATGATAACAGTAATATTGTGCAAGATTGATCCAGAGAAAAAATGTATGCCAATTCAATAAAAAAAAACACATGAAAATCTGATTTTTTTTTTACTGGACTGAAAATGAAACAAGTATTTAAAAATGTCAGATGTAAAGCTGTGCAGACTTAATTAGAACAAGTCAGCAGCCATAGCAGTTTTGTGTGGAACTTTGCTGGTCCTTAAACACTATTGACAGACTGTTAGTACAGTTACTGTTAGTAGATGGCTGTCTGCTCATTCTGCAGCGTCACACCGTCCCCACTGGGTGGGCTATTTGATCTACCTCGATTTCCGTTGGGAGAGCTGTCGGCGGTGTTGTCCTGGGACAGCGCCGGCCAGCTGGACTCTTCATCGCTCGGTGTCCCGTTCATGTTGGAGAAGAGGAGACAAGCATTCCTGCCCGCCACGTTCCCCTCTCTCTGAGACTCCGCACTGCTCTGGTCGGACACCTTGTCTCCACTCGTGCCACTGGATGTCTCCTCATCCTCCTCCAATTTACTTTCCTTCTCTTTATCATCCTCCTCTCTCTCTTTTTCTTTCTCCTCTGTTGACTCCAGAGTGTCGATGAGCAGGGGCTCATTAAGGATGTTCTTGGACTCCTCCTGACTGAGGCCAGGGGTCATTGCGGTTTTGGGAGACTTTGTCTGCTCCTCGTTTCCCTGTTGCTCTTCCTGGGTGATGTTGGGGTGAGGGAAGTCTTCCTTGTTCCCATTCTGGTTGATGTTGCAGTTATGGTCTTGATCCTGTTGGTTCTCGGCAACTTTCCGCAGCTGGTTCCGGCCTTCCTTCACCCACTTGGCATTGTTGCCAGTGGACTCCTGGTCGCACCAGTGGTTGCCATCATTCAGCTTGTTTTTTAGCTCCTCTTCTTGCTTTTGTTTGTTCACAACGTATGTCATATCTTCATCATCATCATGACCACCCATGGTAGCTTTCCATGCAACTGATCTGATGGAGAGAGCAAGAGACATAAAGTGTTTGACATGAAAAAAACGTTACCACTCAATGAATCAACGATGGGCAAATTAGCTGTCAGCCAAAACTTCACGTTAATAAAAGCCTATCCCTTCTCATCCTGCAACTCCCCTGCAACACAGTGGCTTAAATATTTTTAGGAGGATGATAAAACATTCTTGATTCATACAATCATGGTGTGTTTTACGTAATGTGGGTCCGGGGGTAATATTCAATCTCGATTTTTCCAGCTGCTGGTAACATGGCCACGACAGCAATGAAGTTCGTTTCTTTTTCACATAATCTAGCTAAACCGTGAACGTACCAGCGGTCACTGGTACGCTGTGCGAATAAGAAACGCACTTCGGTTCTTCACCTTCCATTTGCCAACACGACCTTTTTCGGTTCCCATACTTAGCGCAACACAACCACTCGGGGCATCATTTCAGATTATCTGACATTAATGGCAGCAAATAAAAAGGTCGGATGGGAGATGCATTTTGAAATACAACGATATAAATCAGGTGCCCTGTCTGCAACAGCAAATATCGAGCATCATCCGCCATCATCAACGTCCTCTTTGCTAGGCTAATGTTAGCTAGCTAGCTGGCTAGCAAACGTTCTCGAACAGGAACTTCAAAACGACTCAGGTGACACCGGTCTACATCAAGACTATGTCGAAAATGCTCACTTACCAACTCCGCCAAACCCCTTGCTTTTAAAATATGTCGAACCGTGTGAGCTAACTACATATTTCCGCAAGTCGTGAGGAATGGCTCCGTTTCTGGGTGGTGTTTTCAGTCAGTGGGCTCGGCCAGCGGTGGCGGATGAACCTGCGTCACGGCTCCACGTCACGGCCGGAGCCCACTGCTGCCCCTCAGGCGGAGAGCGCGAGACCAACCGCGCGCAGCGAAACCAGCCCCCACGCCGTGTTTGGACACACCGATCCGGTGCAGCGTACTCCCAGTGTGCTCAAAAAGGGCTTCAAATATGGAATTTACTGTATTTTGTATTTACATGAATAGATTCACTTAATAATAGGTAGTTGCACCAGATAACCTACCATCTTTGGTTGATGGTTCATCTGCTAACACAGACTACAAATTATTCCCAATGTATAAAAAAAGTTTTTAAATAACATGCAACCCCCCTGAAATTTAATTGTCCAAAGTTTACATTTAACAACCTAATAGATATTGGACATTTAGTGCCGAAGTAATAAAAATGGTACTGCGCGTCCAGATATTCCATTGATGATTTCAACATTACTTGAAAAATTAGTGAATTAAAAATATAATTTAAAAAAGTTTTATATAACACCAGACCAAAAACTGTTTTTGATATCTCCAGTACATTCATTTACTTTGAAAAAATAAAATTTTATTCTATAACCTCAGACTCCCGGTACAAAAAACACCAGTCAAGTTGTCCAAATTTTGCATTTTTAATATACACATATATAAATACATACATTTGTATAAGTCATTCTTGATTTTTGGCTTCAGCCATGATTCGGCACAAACAAGCAAGCCAGTGGAGGCACAGAATGGATGCTGATAAAAGGAAACTCCAAGAGATAGATAATTATGTTTCATTCAGGGGGTTTAAGAAAATAAGTTCACAGGAAATAAACCCCCATAATGTCCCAGTGGTGGCAGCTGTTTCTTAGTGACAAAAGAAAAACCAAAGCACAAAGCTCCCTCCAACAACTTGTATTACATTTTGAACAGTTCATTGCCAACATAATGAATGAAAGCCATTCCTATCTGGAAAACAGATTTCCTGCTCTCAACTTGAAAACAACACTTGATTACAGCGCAGACGTTTCAGATCTCAACAGAAGCTTACAATACTTTTTCATTCAAAATTCTCGGTAACAATTCAAATAAGGTTAAAAAACAGATGGCAAAAGTTTGAGACTGAAAGAAAATGTGAGATGCAAATGATCACATGAGCACAATTACCACGATTTTCAACAATCCTGCAATGTATCTGAAACATAATATTTCCAGAAGAGTCTTACAGACTCTTACAGAGGTTTACAGGCTCAAAGACAAAAAACAGCTCATTGGGGCACTTTTAAATTGTCTGCAGATTGTACAAGATGCACTCAGGTAGTAAAGCACCAGAAAGGCCATGCTGGTCATCCCTACACAGCCAAGCCGAATGGCACCACATTCCAGGGGCATCCCTCATTTAGATGAGTTTTATTAATCAGGTTACACACCAACTGCTGACATGCTTTATCATTGCATACACTTTGTGGCCACTAAGACAAAATACATTTACCTTTTTCCACAAACAAGCTTTGGGTTAATCTGTTTATTTAATTGTGAGCCATATCTATAAGGCTGCAGTTATCGTAAAGGCTGATTTCTTAAGAGAGTCCGTTCTGGACAAAATAAGGCCTTACATCCACTGGTTCAAGGCAGAGGAGTGTCGTGCTGACCTCCAGAGGTTATTCAGTCATTAGAGGAAATCCAAGTCCACATGATAACAGCTGAGAAGATGCACAGTTAATATGAACTGTTCTAAAGACATTTTAGAACATCAGCATTTCAGTAGCAAAGACAGTAATCATATAAACCTCAGATAACATTGACAAAAAAAACAATAGAAAAGAGGTGAATGTCACTGAACTCATCTCAGGAGCAGAAGCTACAGTAGCGTTGAATGCAGTAGTAGAGGATGCGTTTAAGGCAATACTGGTAAGCACCACACCACCATACCAGAGTCATTTCCGGAGTAAGATATCCGGATATTCAGTTAGTTCGAGAAAGAGGGGTCAGTGACTTTTCACTTCTCCTGCATTTTTTCCAGGATTGGCACAATCATGTCAAATTTAGGCCTCTTGGCTGGGTCTTCGTTCATGCAAATCTTCATGAGCTTGCAAATGTGTGGTGAGATGCCGGGGGGGATAGTGGGCCTCAGGCCCTCCAGAGCAACCTAAGTTACAAAACAGACACCAAATGCATTAAAGTCAGGGGTTTACAAAGCCATGGCCATTTGACTGGTTAATCTACATTTCCAAACATTTGCAAATGTAAGTGGGATTTCTATGGCATTTGGACCTTCATGCCTATCTCCATGTTGGACAGGTCAGCAAATGGCACCTCTCTGGTCACCAGCTCCCACAGCAGGATGGCAAAGCTCCACATGTCAGCTGAGCGACGGTTGATCTCCTCTGGCTTCTTCTGCAGTGCTGCGGACCAAAGAGAACGAGCCAAGATTCTGCATGAGCTACAGTCACAGCTAGAGGACGGTATGAACACCAGTGTGTTCTGACAGGATCAGAACAGGATTACCACTTATTTCATTATTCAAGTCTAGCTCAAGATGAGTGTTTTGTGCAACCTAAGAATCCTTAAAACTAACATATTTAGGGTCCACTTCCACGGTTATTCTATGTGTTCACCCACTGGCAACGGTTCCATGAAAAGAAGTCCATCGTATGCTGGGCAAAACCCTGGAGTTACTGTCTGTGTCATTTTATCTCCTGATAAACAGTTTTACATGTAAAACTCTCTGACGTGCACAGTTAAGTCCTGCGATATAGCTATTGTGGTGTATGTTGCTATGGAAACTAAATCTCAAGCGTGGAGATAAAGTGAGGAACTCTGATAAGCGTTGATTTACATCACAAACACAGATAGAGGTTTACAGATGGAAAGGGTAAGAAATATAAGATTTGGTAAATCCCAGTATGGAGACTAAAACGATTTAAACATCTTTACCATAAATTCAACATAATCTGGAATTCATTAGCTCCTATTTGTTATTCTTTTAAAATATTAATTGTACATGAATGTACCATTTCCTTCCGTCATTTAACAAAAGGTTAGAACACTTTCCTCAACATAAACAAAAAAAGATTTGTGTGCCATATAAACGATAAACCTCTCCAAGATCTCTGTATCCGTTCTCCTGACTACACATACTGCTGCAAACATTCCCTGGTTAGTTTCACATTCTTTAATCGGTTTATGTTGGTAACTTGCTCAGATGTCACTTTATCTGAAGGGGAAATCGGTTCCAAACTGCATTTGGCTCAGAGAGAGGAGAGTCCCCTTCATCCATCATGTTCGTCCAGGCTTATGTGGCTTCTGCTGTCATTTTAGATCTGTGCTGTATGAGTGACGCCTACCCTCAGGGGCCACCCAGGCTGGCGAGTACATCCTGCCAGGACACTGGAAGGAGAACTTGACATCTGCCATGCTGATCCTCGCCGTCATGTCTTCATCGATCTTTGGAAACAAGAAAATTTCATTTCCTTTGCTAGTGGCTATGTGTGTTTTTCTAAGGAAACAATATGCTTTGATAAGACTTCAAGTGGACAGACTATGAGTCTAAAAGTTACGATAGAGGCACAAGTTCTTACCATTATGCTCTTGCTGTTCAGATAATGGCGAGAAATCATGGGTTCAAGAGTGTGTAAGAAGGCCATTCCACTTGCTATGTCCAGAGCAAACTTGACTGCCTGTGTCTGGTCCACCACAAAATCTGAATGAATGAATTGGAAATTTAAGCCAGGCTGATAGTGAAATATCCATGTTAAAAATGTTCAATTATGTAAAAAACAAAAAAACAAAAACAAAAAAGAATACGCACAACAACGAATGAGAAATGATTTGGTGCGAACAATTAAAAACATAAGTAATTAAATCAGAAATCACATACAATTGTGACAACTTTGTGAGCACAGTGGAAGTACTCACTGGTGCCTTCATGCAGCACGTTGTACAGGGAGCCATAAGGCATCCAGTGTGTGATGATGATGGGGTGAGGGGCGGGAGGAGACTGACATGCTCCCAACATGGGAAGAACATTTGGGTGAGAAAATATCCTGGGATGAGCCCAAAGAGGGAGGGACAGTGGAAAGAGACAGACAGGGAGGAAAAAACAAAAGAAACGCACACAGTATGAACAGATATGTTGTCTCTCATTCACCTTCCTAAAATACCTAACACAGTGTTCAGTTCTACACAACACACAGACACATGAATGACCACTACAGTAAAAATGCCAGGATTGAGGAATAACCTGAGTTTGGGATACTCCTCATTGAAGTCTCTGCTCTTCCTCCCAGTCCAGTCACGAACTTTTAGCACCTTGACAACTATTTCATTCCCTTGCCAGCGACCCTGCCATAACTAGAGAGAGAGAGAGAGAAAAAAAGTGCTGAAGTGAACTCCAGTTACCTTTAACTATCAGTGGATCTGCTGTGGAACATGACGTACCTCTCCAGAATGGTTTTCATTGATTTTGGCAAGAAGCGAAAGCTGTTTGAAGTCAATGCCTGCCTGTTTGTTCAATGTGCCGTTGCCTAAAAACACATGATGGGAGACTGAATTAGATGACATGGGGCAACATTAGACCATCATCACGCTGGTTGATTCATTTCAAGTAATTGTATGGAACGCTTTTCTGCAATAAATGATCGGCCAATTATTTGGTTTATGAGCTGCTGTGACTCACGGGGTCGAGTTCTGGTGGTGCCTTTCCAGAACGTGTCCTTATAGGGAATCTTAGCCAAGCTCTGTCCCATTTTCTCTGCCTTTTCTGAATGGTGGAGAAATGGGAAAATAATTCACTCTGGGGGAAAAAAATAATCATATTTAAATTGACAGAATCTGTTGAAAAGAGCAGGTGTGACACCTCTGAGGAGTTCCCGCAGGTGAGGTTTGCCTTTGTCCAGAGGAGTTTCCCCATATTTGTTGCAGATGCTAACCTGAGCCCCATTGTTCACAAGATCCTATTTGGAAAAAAAAAACATATATAAACAAGACTGTTGTGAGCAACACTCAAACAAAAATCATAAGTTTTAGCTTCATCTCCACCAGAGGGTGCAACAACCTCTGCCACTTGGTCTTGGCCCCAGAAGCAGGCATAATGCAGAGGTGTGTTTCCATGTTCGTTTGCTGCATTGGTGTCTGCTTTGCACTGGATCAGCTAATATAAAGACAAACACGGGATTAAAAGCAAAGTAAGGCTGGTCATATCATGTTTAGTCTGTAAACAGAGAGAAAAAACTGTATGCTGGCAAGAAAATTCCTGCTGGGTTGTCTTGCCTGTGGACACATACCAGAGCTATTGAGACATGCCTAACATTAAACTCTATTTCTATCAAGAAGCCCCATTAATGCCTTCCAGTAAACTTCACAGTGATATGGAATTCTAAATGCTGATAACAGCATCTGACCATTTGGTGAGACAGATGAGGAAATCAACCCGAAAATCCAAATTTTTAACCGTTCCATACTTTTTATTTAACTTTTTTCCAGCATTTAAACCTTTGTGGAGTTGGGACTCTCTAAATGATGGTGGGATTGCATCACCTCAGGTTTCACAATATCCTGCTTTTAAAGAGCAAACCTGCTGAAACACATCAGCATTACTCAGCTGTGGATTTCAGAGGTTCCTCATCCCCAGCTCCTCCTCTGTGTGATCTTAAGACAGTGCAGACCATGACACTGATGATGCTACCTTTCCCACAATGTCCCGATGTCCGTGGCTGGCAGCCAGGTGCAGAGGCGTGTCGTCCCCCCGGTTCATGACGTTAATGCGCGCTCCTCTCATGATGAGCATGTCCACCACACTGGAGCGGCCCTCCCGGCATGCCCAGTGAAGGGGGCTGAAGCCGTGGTCATCTCTGCAGTGACACAAGAGCAATGGATTCAGCACAGCAGGAGAAAAAAAAAGACAGAGGAGAGCAGCTGAGTGTGAGTTCCTCCCTTTAAAAGTGAAAGCCGTTGACATCCAGACAGCTAACAGACCTCTGGTGCTCATGTGTCACTCACAGTGGGAGAGACAAATGTGTGACAGAGGCCTCCATCACATGACAGAGAGACTGACGTGCCGCCTCAGCGACAAGAAGATAAAGACGGAGAGTAAGAAACAGGAGGATCTGGGTGACAGCCAGTCAATCATGAAAT